AGGGAAGGAGTGATATTGTCCAAAAAGAAATGTACTCTTTACCTGATGCATGTAGATGTAACCCCTCTGTACATTGCTTTTCCTAATAACAATAAATTTAAAATGTAAAAAAATAGCCAATGCTCAAAAGGTGCTGGAAGCAGGGCTCAAGTTGTAGAGTGCCTGTCTACAGGCATAAGACTCTGAGTTCGATTCCTAGTAATGACCAAAAAACTCTCAAGAACACAAAATTCAAATGATAGCTTTGATGAGTTGTTGGAAGTTTAATATAGATGAGCATTACAAGGAGAAATTCCTGGGTGCCATAGGTTTCAAGCATCCTGTTTTTCTGTGAAATTTCACTACAATCTATTATTCAATACAATATGACCATCAAGAAAAAATTACAAGGCATGCCAAAAAGAGTGGGGTACACAGTCACAAGCAAGCATTGAAACTAGACTTGGATATGGCATGGATTATGAAATTATAATATTTGGAATTTAAACTAACTAGGATTAGTATGTAAGGGGATCAAATGGAAAAACTAGAAAAGATCAGATAAAAAAACAAATTGATGGTATAAATAGAGACACAGGGGTTTTAAAAAGTAATTGAAAGGAAAGGGTAGAAATCAGAACAACATAATATAAATGAAGAATGCCTTTGATAGACTCACAAGTGAACTCAACAAGGCTAAGGAGAGAATCAATGAGCCTGAACTAAAACTGAAATGCCAAGAGAAAAAAAGAAAGATATAAAACAGAACAAAATATTTAAGGACTTCAGGGCAATTTCAAAATGTGTAGCATCTGCAATTGAACTGCTAGAAGAACTAAACAGTGGAGCAGAAGAAATATTTGAAGTGATAATAGCTAGCTGGTAATTTTAAACCTCATGACAGATAGCAGTACAAAGACTGAGAAGTTAAGAGTCATTAAAAGGCCACCACTGGTGGCTTACACCTGTAATCCTAGCTACTCAGGAAGCTAAGATCTGGGGATCATACTTCAAAGTCAGCCAAACAGGAAAATCCATGAGACTCTTGTATTCAGTTAACCATTAAATAGCTGGAAATGGAGCTGTGGCTTAAGTGATAGAATGCTAGCTCTCAAGGACAGCACCCAGGCCCTGAATGTAAGCCCCAGGATACACATATACGCGCGCGCACACACACACACACACACACACCTTAAACATACTAGTTCCACAAAATAAAAGCTGCCATACATCTATCCTTGGTTTATTATATTGAAACTGCAAGTAATCAAAGATAAAGAAAGAAAACTGAAAGACATTAGAGAAAAAAATGCTGTCTTTCCTACAGAGGAATAAGGACAAGAAATTTATCACATTTCTCATCAGAGGCAATGTCAGCAAGAATCATATTATTTAAATTTTGTTTGTTATAGAAAAACCTTCCACCAATCTAGAATTCTTTATCTAGCAATAATATCCTTTAAAAGTGGAGGAGAACTAACTTTCTAAGACAAATGAGGGCTTAAAGAACTCATTCCCAGCAGGTCTGTGTTGCTATAAATGTTTTAAAAAGACAATCTTCAGAAAATAGAAATGATGTAGATAAAAATCTTAAGGAGATACAGATATATAGAAATAGATATGGAAATGAAGAATCTCAGGGAATAAATCAATGAAAATAAAATAAAAAACTTTCATTATTCTCGATTGATGTAGAAGATAACTGTATAATGTAATAATAGTAAGAATGTATTGGGTGACTAAAGCCTATGGGTATGTGAGTTGAATGACAATGATGTTGAAATGGATAAGAGAGAGGACACAAACTATTTTTATGAGGTACCTGAACTTCATGTGAAGCAGAATGGTGTTATTTGAAGGTGAACTTAAATTATATTGTAAGCTTCAAGCAATTTGAATTTTTAAAATTAGAAGTATAACTGATATGCAAAGAGGAGATAAAATAGAAATATGAATATACAAATAAAGTTGGAAGAAAAGAAAATTGTTACAAACATGGCTGATATTAAATCTACAGATTGATCATCCCTTTAAATAATCTAACTGCATCAAGTAAAAGAGACTCTCAGACTAGATCTACATTATATATATATATATATATATATATATATATATATATATAATATGTGTATATACACAAAACTCAAGGATAAGTAGTTTACATAAATTTCATTTTAAATATAAAGACTAACAAAATTAAAGGTGAGAAAGGCTGCTAACATTAATCAAAAGAACTGGAGTATCTATTCTAATTTTCTTTTTCCTCTCTCTTATTATCTTTACTTGTACAAAGGGTCTCAATTCATCATGTGAGTTTATGAGTACAGTGTCTTTTGATCAATCGCAGCCCTTTCATCATTCTCCCCGTCTCCCCACTCATCTCTTCAATTTTCCTAGTCACATTTTCACTTATGTGCATTGAGTGTTATGACTACATTCTTCCACCCATCCTCTCTTCACACATCTGCCCCCCATTCCCTTGACCTCACCCTTCAACACTTCAAGCTATATTAATGTCAAAGAAGCCAGTCTCAAGAATAAGGAAAATCCTCTGGGATAAAAATGGTACTACACTATGAAGCTTAGTTTTCCAGGATGACATAGCAGTCCTAAGCTATGGATGCTTGACAACAGGACATTAAATTACATGAAGCAAAATTTGGTGTAGTCACAGGAGGAATAGACAAATCCACTGTATACTTGAAAGCTTTTCCTTTCCTCTGTCAGTAATCATATATTAAGAAGACAGAAAATCAATAAGTGTAGAGTGTACCTCACTCACACTACAAATCAGCTTGATGTAATTGAAATTTATAGTATCTTGCACCCAACAGAAGTAGAATACACATTCTTAAGTCCACATGGAACATTCTCGAATATAAACACTTGAAGCCCAAAATATATCTTAGTGTGTTTAAAAGAAGTCACATAAAGCATGTTCTTAGTCAGCAATGCAATTACAATGGAAATTGATAACTAGAAATGTACTTGGAAAATCATTAACTATTTGAAAATTAAACACACACTCACATAATACAATGAATCAAAAGAAACTCTCAAAAGAAATAAACATAAAACATTTTGAGATAAATTAAAATGATAATCAAACATCAAAATTTATGTGATTTACCTAAAGTAGTATTTAGAGGAAGTTTTTTAAAAAGTTATTTATTTAATTAATTTTTTATTGTTATTATAAAGGTGATGTACAGAGGAATTACAGTTACATAAGTCAGATAAAGAATACATTTCTTTTTGGACAAGGTTACCCTTCCTTTACTCTCTCTCAGTTTTTCCCTCTTGTCCCCACACACAAATTGTATAGTTAATTTTCAACACAGCGTCTAGTGGGTACCACTGCTGCATTTGTTCACCCCTTGTTCCTCCATTTCTGTATCCTCCTTTCCCTCCCAAGGACGGATAAATGCACAAACAAACAAAAATAAAAGTACACAATTAGCAAAAAATAAAAAAACCTCATTTCCATTTCCTGGAGTTCATTTTGATAAACCTTATTTTGTATGCACATAGGCATTGAGCCTTTGTACTCCTCCTTTGTTTTCCCTATATGTGAATGCCAAGAGTTCTATATAACTTATTATGTCCCTGTGTATTTAAATATAGCTTCCCCATGCGAGAGAAAATGCACCATTTGTCTCTCTGAGGTTGGCTTAACATGATTTGTTCTAGATTTATTCTATTTTTTTTCTGCAAATGACATAATAGTGTATTGTTCTTCTAATGGCTGTGTAAAATCTCATTGTATATATGACATTTTTGGGATCCACCCATCTATTGTAGGGCATCTGGGCTGTTTCTACAACTTGGCTATTGTGAATAGTGCAGCAATGAACATGGTTGTGCAGATGTCTTTATGGTATCCTGGCTGGTGATGTTCTGGGTATGGCTGTATCTTAGGGAATATCTATATTTCTTTTTTTTTTTTTGAGGAATCTCCAGACTGTTGTCCAATGTGGTTGTACTAGTTTACATTCCCAGCAACAGTGCAATAGGGTTCCTTTTTCCACACATCCCTTCCAACATTTTTTGTTGTTAGAATTCACGGTATGATTATTAATTGGGGTGTGATGGAATCTCAGAGTTGTTTTGATTTGCATTTCCTTATGGCCAGGAATGATGAGCATTTCCTTATGTGTTTCTTTATCATTCTTACCTCCTCTTCTGAGAAATCTCTCCATAGCTCCTTTTCCCATTTAGTAGTTAGCTTATTAAATTTGGGAGGGGTTACTTTTTTTGAGCTCCTTGTATGGTGGATATTAGGCCTTTGTCTGATATATTGCTGGTAAAGATCTCCCAGGCTGATGCTGTCTTTCTAGTTTTGTAACTATGTCCTTGGCTGTGCAGAAATTTTTCAGTTTGACTTAATCCCATTTGTCAAGTTTCTCTCCTGTCTGCTGTGCTCCAGGCCTCTTTTCAAAAAGTTTCTGCCCATGTCTATGAGTTTTAGTGTTTCTCCTACTCCCTCTTGCAGTAATTTCAAATATTTGTGCATGGTGATAAACAGGGATGCACTTTTAGTTTGCTGCATATGGATGCCAAGTTTTCCCAACACTAATTATTGAAAAGGCTATCTTGTTTCCACTGTATATATTTGGATCCCTTATCAAATATCAGATAACTGTAAATGTATGATTTTATTTCTGGGTCGTCAAGTCTGTTCTATTGATCTTCGAATCTATTTTTGGGCCAATACTATGCTGTGTTTTTTTTTTATTGTAGAAATACTGTACAGAGGGGTTACAATTACATGAGCAAGGTAATGAGTACATTTCCTATCAAGCATTATTGCCTCTTCCTTTGTTTTTCCCTTACCATCCCTTCCCTCCCACCTCCACAACTACCCTCATCCCCCTCCCATAAATTGTAAAGTTCTTTTTCAACATAGTGTCTTGTACAACTCATTGTTACAATTGGTCAATCTGTATCCCTATTTAAACATTTTGCTTTTTCCCTTCCCCTCCCCAAATTAGAGAAGTGTATATACAAGATTCAGGGTACCGATCGCTTCTCTGCCTTTTGGCTAAGATCAAGTGTCATATCTGTTCTTATCAGTTTAATATCTGATACATCATTTAACCAAGGACAATATACAGAGTTTGGCCAGAGAGGGAAAATCCAGGCAGATTGGTGAATGAGACAGATCTGAGCACTTGTTGGTAGCCATAGCTGTAAGTGGCTGCGGTGGCAAATGTGGCCTCCATACCAACAGAGAAAGTCCGGGACACAGATGCCAGATGCAGCATGCTAGCAGATTCTACTCACTACCAGCAAGAACTGACAAGAAGCAGAAATCATCCTGCTGATTTCTGACCAGGGACAGTCCAGGAACCAAGTCTGGCGTAAGTAGAGCCCTGGAATCCTCACTCCTTCTCATGAAGCCACAGTGGGAAGGCAGCTCCTCCCCCATGACCAGAGAAGATCTCCATCTTTTTTGGGGGGGGGTGTCCGGTTGTGGGGCCTGGGCCTGGGCGCTGTCCTTTAGCTCTTCAGCTCAAGGCTATCGCTCTACCACTGGAGCCATAGCGCCACTTCCGGCTTTTTTCTTTTTGCTTATGTGGTGCTGAGGAATCGAACTCAGGGCCTTGAGCATGCAAGGCAAGCTCTCTACCACTGAGCCACCTTCCCAGCCCCAAGATCTCCATCTTTGATACTGACAAAGGCCAGGCTGAGCAGCTAGCTCCAACCCAGGCCTTGGAAAGAAACAATTGGAGCCATTAGCAGGGCACAGGAACCTGACCTGACCTGCCAGGCTCAACTTCACCCAGGGGAAAGTCAACCTGCTCAGGCAGACAAAGCTCTGCCCCAGAGGAGTGACTTTCTTCACTGGGTAAACAGAGCCAGAGGCTGCCCCTCCCTACAGCAGCCTTGACAAACAATTGAAACTCAGTAAACATAACCCTGAGAATGGCTCCAGGCTGGGATCTGTGAGTGTCTCAGGAGCTAGCCCTTCAGGGAAAGCTACTGTTTGCTGAAAAGCCTCAACTCTATCCAGAACCTAGCCTCATCACAGCATCTACAAACTAGAGGAAACAGCCGTTTCTCTTTTTTGTGATACTCAAAGCAGATCTCCCTCCCACTGAACTAGTCTGGGAGGAGGATCACAAAGTCCTGGGTAAGGCAGAGCTGTTTACCTGCTCAAACAAACTGACTTAAGAAAACAATCAAGCCACAGGAAAACCAAACACCACAAGCAGACCAGAGACCCCACCAAGAGACTGGTTACTGTCACAGGGGAAATACAAAATCTTCCTTCCACCTTCTCCTCTCCCCCGAAAAAAATCAAAGAACTCTTTTTTCTACCTATTTATTATTCATTTTAAAAATTCTTTTCTTTTTTTCTTTCATAATTTTTATTTTAGAAGTGTATATGTGTGTGTGCTTATTTAAAAAAAAATCTCTTTTGACCTATTGATCCTTTTTTTTTCCTCTTTCTTTTTTGCATGACTTAATTGCTGTTCTGCTCATCCCCAGATATATACCCGTCATTGATTATTAGACCTTATCCCTCATTATGTACATACTAAATCCAGAAACTTATTACTCAATTCACAACTTCTTAGGCTTAACTTCTTTAATAGTAGTATTATTTCTTTATACCTATATAACTTTCAAGTATTCCAATTTTAAGAATTTTTATTTTTTAGTTTTTCCTTTTTATTTTTGCCCTCCTCTCATCATATCCTTTTCTTCTTTCAATATCATTTCTTAATTACTTACATAATTTTTAAGTTTCATTTTTAAATATAATTTTTGTTTTTCCATTTTTCTTTTTTTTTTTTAATCTCTCTCCTATCATTCTGTCCTATCCATTTCCCTCTGAGATTAGGACTTGGTTAAGTTCACTATCCTTTTACCTTTCCACATCCCTCTAATCCTATTTTTCCCCACAATTCTCCTTAAACCTAATAATTTCTGGTTTGCTAAATCCCTCTTGGATGTTTTTAGCCCATTAATCCATAGTTGTTTGATGTTGAATAGATTGTATCTGTTGAACTAGATTGTATCTGCAGCCATTTTGACTCAGCAACTACAGGACTCTGGTTGATGCTTTCCTTAATATAGTGTTCTAGCATGAAATTGCTGTTACTTTCATACCAAGTGGGCAGAACAAGCTGAAGAAACACAAGAAAAGTGGCAAGTCCAGGTATCTCAGCTCCCACTCAGGATAATCAGGTGACAGAACAATTAATGAGTTCCCAGAAAGCTCTACAAACACTACTGGTAAACATCGTGAGTGCAAAGATTGAAAACCTGCAAAGGACTCACTGCAAGTAGGATAGGGAGCCAGACGAGACTAACCAAAGATTAATACAGGAACCTCACAAGCATGTGGAAGATAACCAAAAATTACTACAGGAATCTCATCAGTGTGAGGAAGGTGCTCAAAGATTAATACAGGAATTGTGTGACCAGGCTAAGAAGAGTCAAAGAGAAAGACAGGAATTGTGTGAGCAGGCTGAGAACAAAGATAAATACAGGAATTGCGTGAGTATGAGTAAGCTAATCAAAGAGTAATACAGGAATTGCATGAACAGGATGAGAATAGACAGAGATCGATAGAGGCATTCATGGAATCCATAAACAGACAGCTGAAGGAATCCAGGGAGACCACAAAGGGAATGCTGGATGGAGCCTAACAGAAGGAAAGGGAGTCCAAGGACACCAAAACTAATCAACTAAGTGATTTGAGAGTAAACACTGAACACCAAATTAAGGAAGTAAGTTCATACAAGATCTAAAACAAAGTTCCCACAAAAAATTTGAAGCCATCAAAGCCTGCCAATGTCTGGGAAGGTGGCTCAGTGGTAGAGCACTTGCCTAGCATGCATGAGGCCCTGGGTTTGACTTCTCAGCACCACATAAGCAAAAAAAAAAAAAAAAAAAAAAAAAAGCCGGAAGTGGTGCTGTGGCTCAAGTGGTAGAATGCTATCCTTGAGCTGAAGAGCTGAGGGACAGAGCCCAGGCCCAGAGTTCAGGCCCATGACAGGACCCCCCCCCCCAAAAAAAAGCCAGCCAATTGGAAGGAAAAGAAATAAAAGACAAAGTAGAAAGTCTTGACAGTAGGTTAGACCGTGCAGAAGATAGAATCTCTGGGATTGAAGGCAGCCTAGATATTATAGAGAAAGAACATACAACTATCCAAGACAAATCCAAGAAATATGATAAATCTATTCAACATTTGGAAGACACCATCAGAAAGCCTTATCTGAGCATAATAGGTATAGAGGAGCACCTAGAGACAGAAGTTAGTGGTCTAGGAAATCTATTTAACAGGATCCTAGCAGAGAACTTCCCAAACATGCAAAAGAGATAGGCCTATTCCCATACAAGAAGCTTTTAGAACCCCAAATAGACAAGAACAGAACAAGACATACCACCATCACATTATAATTCACACAGGATCAACTCAGACCAAGGAAAGGATCCTTAAAGCTGTCAAGGAGAAAAGATCAATAACCTATAAAGAGAAACCAATTAGAATCACCTCAGACTTCTCAGCAGAGACAATTAAAGCAAGAAGAACCTGGAATAATGAATGCCATGCCCTAAAGACAAACACCTATCAACCAAGAACACTGTACCCAGCTAAACTCTCCTTCATAACTGAAGGTCAAATAAAAACTTCAACAACAAAGAACTCAACACCAAAAGCCACCAAAGAAAGTCCTGTAACACAAGGAGACTGAACAGCACACTGTTGAATCACGAGTGGGTCATGGAAGAGATTAGAAAGGAAATTCAAATGTTCATGATATTCAATAAAAATAAACACACAAGTTACGAGCTCCTCTGGGACACAGCAAAGGCAGTACTCAGAGGCAAGTTTATAGCTCTGAGTTCCTACATCAACAAATTGGAGAGATCTGAAACCAACAATTTAATGAGACATCTGAGCCTCCTTGGAAAAGAGCAGCAAGATAAACCCCAATCCAGTAGGTGGAAAGAAATAATTAAAATTAAATCAGAATTAAACAAATTAGATTTTTTAAAAAACCATAGAAAGAATCAAAACAAAGAGTTGGTTCTTCAAAAAAATTAACAAAATTGACAGACCCTTAGCAAATCTTATCAGAAAAAGAAGAGAACACACCCAAATAAACAAACTCAGAGATGAGAATAGAAACATCACCACAGAAACAACCAAGATCCAAAACATTGTAAGGGAATACTTCTCAAACCTTTTTGCTAATAAGTTTGAGAACCTGGCAGAAATGGACGATTTCTTAGCAAATATCGACATGCCAAAACTAAACCAAGATGAGTTAAACCATCTTAACAGGCCCATATCAAGCATTGAAATAGAAACAGCAATAAGAGACCTCCCATCTAAGAAAAGCCCAGGACGAGATGGTTTTACAGCGGAATTCTACAAGGTCTTCAAAGCAGAACTCACTCCAATACTCCTTCAACTCTTCAATGAAATTGAAAGAGAAAGTTCACTACCGAACCATTTCTATGAAGCCATCATAACCCTCATCCCAAAACCAGGCAGAGACTCATCAAAGAAAGAGAACTATAGACCCATTTCGTTGATGAATATTGATGCAAAACTTCTCAACAAAATTTTGGCCAATCGACTTCAACAATTCATCCAAAAAATCATACATCACGATCAAACAGGATCCATTTCAGCGATGCAAAGCTGGTTCAATATACGCAAAGCAATCTATATAATTCATCACATCAACAAGAGCAAAGAAAAGAACCACATGGTTATCTCAAGAGATGCAGAAAAAGCATTTGACAAGACCCAACACCCCTTTATGATGAATGCTCTGGAAAAACCATGGAACATTCCTCAATACAATAAAGGCTGTATATGACAAACCGACAGCCAGCATTATACTTAATGGTGAAAAACTAAAGCCATTTCCTCTAACTCAGGAATGAGACAAGGATGTCCACTCTTTCCACTTCTCTTCAATTTAGTATTAGAATGCCTAGCTACAGCAATTAAGACAAGATGCAAACATAAAGGGGATCCAAATAGGGGAAGATGAAGTAAAACTCTCCCTCTTTGCAGATGACATGATCTTGTATTTAAAGAGTCCCACAGACTCCACTCCCAAATTACTCCAGCTGATTCAAAACTTTGGCAAAGTAGCAGGGTATAAAATTAACCCTCAAAAATCAATGGCTTTTCTGTATGTCAACAATGAGAATAAATCAGGAAAACAACTCCATTTGTAGTAGC